TTCATTTCTTTAATTTAATTCTTTTTGTCAATTTGATTTACATACTTAATGAATTTTAAGATGAGATATCCTTCTTAATTTTAGATTTATCCTTCATTTTCTTCATTATATCTAGAGTTCAAAGTCATCTCTCTGTAAAAAGAAAATATATTACTCATAATTAATTTGCTAGAGAGCCATAAGCAAATTTTAAGTAAAAACAATAAAATAGTTTTCATACCAATTCATTGTACTCCAAAACATGTTTCCTGATTGCAGATGAGTCAACCCACGTAACAAAATCTTCCAAATTCCTGTAAGCACAAATAGTACATTATAGAAGTGGGAAAAGACAGTAACTAATATTGACATCAACAACTTTACTGATTCTCACCTGGTAACTAAAAATGCGGGGTCTTTTACAAGTTCAGGTCCAACACGAACATGTCCTTGCTCTATTAATTTGGTTGCCATTCTAATTGACTCGGACATTTTGTTGCGTACCATGACAACTGGCAACCGTCTTCTGCAAAAGCTGGATGCTGTAACTTTATCACATAATGAGAGATCCCACTTTGTAGGAATTAAACCCATGAGGAACCTAAAATAAAATTAAGAGCAGGAATTATAACCACTTGCAATTATGAGTTCTAAAAAGCATCAGAACTGCTGCACATTGATTCTGTACTCACAATTTTTCCAAAACTTTGGCGCTTGTTTCTATCCTAAATGGGTCCTTAGCATCTAAGGCTGTCAATTTTCGAACCAGTTCTCTAATTTCACGAGATATTTTATTGTACCTGGGCAAAAGTAACAAAGAATAAAAGATTGAACAGAAAACTGCTGATTGACAGACAACAAACACAATGTATACTTACTTCGTATAATCCTCTCGCTTTTGAATACAATATTTCCTTAAGACTTTAACTTCATGAATATTATTGTCCACCTCCCATGATATAAAATCAACTTTCTTGAGCAATTTTTGCTCATGAAATTTTAGTTTACGGACCATGTTTCTTTTGGGTTATGTTTTACTCACATGCGTAGTGAAATGTGTAAACAAGCTCACCTTCCAGAAGGCAGTGCGACTTGCTCACCCATTTTCTCATACTGAAGCAGAGTTCTCTCGAAAGATCGACGTCATTTCGAGAACCGCTGAAAGCTTTTCAAAGTGCAGACGCCATTTGAACGTAACGCAAGTTTAACTCAAACTCAAATCTCTCAGGCCCAGGCCAGTGTTGTGTTCAGACTTTTGACTGATCATCGGTTTTTAGTGAATTTGCTCGGGGATTGTACTGTCATTTGTCGTCACCCAGGGTTGTTTTAACATTTTTCAATCATGACGGCTGCTAAACTCGAAGAGGTACGGTGATCACATGGCTTTTAAACAACAACAACTTTTAATTTCGCTTTGTCAGTTCCGTGTTTTTAGTTAGCTAAAGCAAGCACTTTTGAATCGTTTTATACTTTTAGGCTAATCGTCCCTCAAAATTTCAATCATATTCCTCTGTAGTAGGGAGTTAAGATAGGTTACAAACTTTGAAGCCTATTGTCTGCACAGTGTTATTCATAGTCATTCTAATTTGCAGATGCGTCTTGATGCAGAGGAGCTGAAAGCTTTTTTGTCAACTGCAACCCGACAGAAAGTTAAAGATTTGCTTTCTCTGGATATCCGGAAAGTAGAAACCGACATCATTCGTCTTCAAGAACAGCTCTCGAAAGAATCTGATCAAAGCAAGCCTAGCAGTTCGTCATCAGCTCCTGTGGCCTCAGCATCCGGAAGATGTTATGATGTTAAAATTACCAACTATGGTGGGTTGCTTATAATGTGCATGCTTGTTGTTTTAATAGTCGAAGCCCCCGTGCTAATTATTTTATCATCTTCTTGTAGCATGGGATCAATCTGACAAGTTTGTCAAAATTTTTGTCACCTTGAAGAATGTGCATACTCTTCCAGCAGATAATATCTCTTGTGATTTTAAGGACAGGTAAATAACATAACAAAGGAGCTTTTTTATTTCGTAGGGAGAAATCTAGCACTAACAAGTGTTCTCATTTGTCAGGTCTATGGAGCTCCATGTGAATGCACTGGAGAGCCGAAACCACCATCTCCCCATCCTCAATCTGTTAGAAGATATTGATGCTGAGAAAAGCTACTGGAAAGTTAAAAATGGTACGTGACTTCAAAAATTTGTTTGTTACTTTTGTCACATTTACTTGTTTTATCTACCATGATGTTTTCATATTGCAGACAATGTAATCATATATCTGGTAAAGTCTAAATATGCTCAAAAGTGGTCTCATTTAACTGGTGTTGAAAAGAAAGTAACTGAAAAGAAAGCACCAAAATATGAACCATCTCCTGATGGCGATCCCTCATCCAGCATTATGGGACTTCTCAAGCAAATGTATGAAGATGGAGATGATGAAATGAAGAGAACCATTGCCAAGGCATGGTCATCGAATCAGGACAAGAAAACCACTATTGATGATATGCCAATGCCGAGCATGCCCAGTTTCTAAACATTCCACCCATGCTGAAAGCATTCTGCCAACTGAAAATATACCCTTGAAATTTCTGTTTGTACTGTATCTTCTGTAATTCTACTATTCTCTGCTGACTAAATTACCAGACTTTGTAAAATTAAGCTACGTATGTCATTTCATCTGTGGTATGGTGGCTTGTTGCAGCATCAGTATCCCTTCACAATTAGGGACCGGTGTTTGCTTTGAATTTAATGATGACACCCTCATGTAGATTTTTTGTATCAGTGTTTGTGTCTCTGTGGGTTAATTAAAATGCACAGACTACTAAGTTTCTGCTCTCCCTTCTAATCAACAAACCTCCAGCCCTTCAGTCATGATCATCAGTACCTATAATGGGTGAGTGAATTTCTTTTTTCTCATAGTTAGAACTTAAGGGATTGAAATAAACTGTGTAGTATTGCATATATCTATTTTTGGCAATTAGATTTTCAACACCAATACACACTTAAGGGATTTAATTTTTCTGAATGTGTTTGAAAAAAACATGAATTCATGCTCAAATCACATCAACTACATACAGACGAAAGACAGCTGATAGAGAGATGTTGCCAGCTGGGCCAACAGTGGCCGCTTTTGGCTTAACAAAAGGTATGTACAAATAATTATAGGCCAAAATAAAGCCCACAGGTACTAGCCAAGGTCCTAATTTTTGCCACTTCTTACAATTGAAGGTAGCATATTTAAACAACCATAACAGCACTTGGCATCTTCTGGTATTGCTAAGCATGTACTACTTCAAGTTATGACATCTTTTCATTTTAATTACTTTATTATATATAATTTCT